AGCAAGATGACTCATCTTGCGGCGGTGCCGGACACCATCGACGGTGTCGGTACAGCGACACTGTAAGTAAATCGTGGTTTCTATAACATGGACTCCAGGAGTCAATTGTTTATGATAGAGACCCACGCTCCTCTGGGAAGTTTTGGTCTTCACTCTTCAGGGTACTGGGCACCAAGTTGACTTTGTCAACAGCAGACCATTCGCAGACCGATGGTCAAACTGAGCGCGTGAATAGCGTCATCGAGGACGTCCTTAACAGCGTCTACGCTGAGACGCCCAGGCGCTGGAGCGCCATGCTGCCACTCCTAGATTTTGCTCAGAACGATTCACACGCCGTTCACCGGGAACGGGATAGTTGAATTCTCGCGTCCCGCTGACACCGCCATCCCATAGCTCAGGATTGACGGGGAAGGAATAGCCGATTGGCTAGTTGATTTCAGTCATCCCACTGTTTGTAAAGATTTCGATGACTTCCGTCTACCAGACTGAGTGTCTTACGACACGTTCGCGATGCGATCGCTGAAAGCCAAGTTCTTTTCCGCAGCTTTTATCTGTCGAGATTCGAACGCGATCGCCGGTCTCGCCCCAAGACATTCAGCAAGAATATGCAGACGGAGGAAGCAGAAGAAATGTTGAGAGCTTTGAGGTCGAAGACCTGGTTTTATTTAATGCTAAAACCTTCCTTCCCATGCAGTTTCTGCTGTCTTTAAGACGAAGCTCCGTCTGCGGTTTATCGGACCCTTTAAGATTGTGACCAAGCGGGACCTTGCGTATACGCTAAACCTTCCGAAATGGGGGCGCGCCCAGCTGTTGTTTTTATTTGGGCTTGCTCAAGCCGTACTGGGATCCGGAACAATTGAACGCGGAAGCAATGGTGCTGGGGCGGCGCCCACAGACGCCGACCGACCAGAAGCTGAACCAGCAACTGATTTTGGGCACGGAGTGCAACGATTTCCGTTTCCAACGGAGTTGGGCACATCATCGTCGCACGAAGTGACGCAATCGCCTGCGTGACGGCTAAGAGCTGCTCCGACAGAGCGTGGTTGTCCTTATCATGAGGCAGTCTGTGCACAAAGTGCTCCAAGCTCTCTAGGTCTTCCGCGCAGCGGTATGTGACCTCGACAAGACGCTCAGCAGATCGCCTATGGCGACAGACCTTGTCCTCGAGAGCTCGAAGAGTACCGCGAGTCACCGGACGGCGATCGACAAAGTCGTCATCGTCCGCCGCCGACTCTTCTCGACAAGAATGGTGGTATCCACTATCACGTAGAACGCCTTGTGGGTCGACGTCGTCGACAGGGTTGAGCCCAATATCTTGTAAAGTGGCGTGAATACCCAAACTTCGAGATCTCGTGGGAGTTTGAGGTGCTACTTCGGAGAGACTACCCAGACTTCGTAGACGCTTATGATCAGAAGATCATAGCACTCCATGCTTCTCGGCAATAGCCCGGGAAGCCGAAGGATCACGAGCTTAGCTCAAAATATGGTCCTAAACTGCTGTGGTCGTAGACTTACCCGTGTGAGAAACCACAGAGCTCATGGCAGCGTGATGGATTAATCCATATGTCGCAGGGCGACAATACGCTGGAAGTTGGCGTCGCGCCTTGAGTTTTGCAAACTTGAATCTAAGATGGCGCTCTACGCGCACGTCCACTTTCTTACGACCCATCTGTAAATTAAACAGCGAGGAAAGTTTCCGGTGCCGCTGCACATATCGCTCTAAGAGCTCTTCATCATCTGCTGTGGTTTCGCCAGAGGCGAGAGCCACAGGAATAATTCGCATGGCGGTTACAGGTGCGCCTCCTTTTTGAGCTCGAAGTCGAGCGCGTTACCTATCTATCACGATTTTTTGAGGCACCAACAAGCGAAATCGAAGAGCTTTTTGTTGGTCAAGTTCAGCTTGTGTAGAGGCCGAAGGCCCAACTACGAAGACTCCCAACAATCGAGTTATCGCGTCTCTCGCTTCAGAAGCGGGATCCGCCGAGCAAAGCCGTATTCCACACGAGGTTCTAGAACCGACCGTGGATACGAGCGCATGAAAGCCGCTCTGTGTGCACTTTCCAACTACCTCGTCGAGGCGATTGGTAATAAAATCACTTTCAACGGAAGTAGAGAGGTCGGGAAACGGACACATTTTCCGTAAGGTTCGAATTTGGCTCACGTCGCGCCGCTAGCACACCTCTCCCTCCTCTTCTTCCTATCCTGGGAAAGGAGTATCCGACTCGTAGTCGACTTCCTCCAAATCCTCAACGAGGAATCCGTCGCCCGTGGTGAGTGCGGTGTGTGGCGCCTGGCTGCCGATGGCTTGGGATGTACTTCCCTTGAAGCCGCGGACGTACTGTCCGGAGTTGCACCACGTACAGGGCTCGAAGAAGGGCTCTACCCGGGCGCCGGAAACAGCGGGGCTGCGTGTTTTTTGCGTCATAGACACAGGGCTCATTGTGCTGAGAACGCGTGAAGAAGGCTCTGGGAACGTAAAGGCGTCTTAGACCTGCGTACCTCGTACGAGGTGACAGTGAATTGTGAATTATAGGTATTCAGAATTTTGATGGGGGAGAGTGTAACGGGCTTATACGTACCATGGTATGAAAGGGTGGTCAAACAAGATGGTGTGACCGTTTAAGGGTGTGGCTACACCGTAACAAGAAGCCACTACACAAAGAGACTGCCAGTATATATGTATATTAATTAGGTTTTACTATTAAACAGGAGAACCTATATAAAGGCGACTTTGCCACAAATAAAACAGATAACAATTTTGGACGGAAGAGTACATTTACCTTAGGTTGAGGTTTTGGGTACTCTTGGAGGTAGCGAATTTCGATCCGCATCACTCATACTGGGACTATGATAGAGCGAAAGTCGGTGACCTTTAGTAAGCTTCCTCTAAGCAGAGAGCTACAGCAGTCGCACTGCACAGAGGAAGCGCTGACTCAACAAGTCTGCGGTACCAGGCGGATGGAGGATAGTTTCGTATGCTCTCTATAGGAGCGGGACCAGTCTATCGGTAGCAAAAACATCTAGCTTGCAAATCAAACTCCAGAGTGACAAATACTTATACTTAAGGTAGATTACAGCTAGAGTAAATTGTAAGACACAGTAAAACATCTCGCCAATGTGATGCAGAGGTTTGTAACACTCGCACAAAATACTGCGGCCGAAGAATACGACAGCTGCGTTGCAATGTGTACACACTTTATTTCTGGAACGAGTTGTCTTTAACGGCATCTTTTGCATCCTTTCTCGGAGCCCATTCCGAAGTCTTCTCTAAGTCGTCGACGTCTGAGTACGTTATCACCTTGTGCACACATACCAAAGTTGTGTGTCTGAATGACCACCTTACAGTATCAAGGTTTCATCGCCATCACTTGTCTTACGTCAAATTTTTGACTGCAGCGTATTTTGTCTGTTTTAATGCGTTCAGTGATAACAATTTATCCACTGCATGACGTAAGGCTAGCATGAATTCTTGTCGTCTGTTCAGTACTACTTGGTCTTCGGAGCTTTGCGCAAATTGTGCAATGTGTACGCACGGTATGCGACCCATTTCATTTAGTGTTAAATCGAAGATGACAACAAATCCATAAGAGTCCAGTGAGAAAAATATTTTTCAATCAGAAAATACGGAGGATATCTCTCCCGTTAAAGTCGTAAGTTGGCTTTAGCGCGCCGAACGTTCATCACTGACATCATACTCGTAGTGGTGAAATTAATGATGATTTTTGAGAGAGCGTTTGGTTAAAGGACGTCCATATTTATTATTATAGAAGGACACTTATCAATTTGCTTGGCTAAATTAATCTGTGTGGTGGGTATACAGCGATTTTGGTTACCTGTGGGAGAGGTTTTGACAAACCTAAGGCCAGTGTGGCCGAAGATTCTTGGTATTGTGGAGTCTCCTGTGTGGTCTGCGAGATTTGAGAGGCAAGTGGTATTAATTTCACGATGTGGCATGAGAGGGCAGCCTTTTCGCAGCTCATCGACCAAGAGTGTGGTCCACCCTACACGATCTGCCCGTTACGAAACTACGCAGCAGTGTGTTGAGAGACCGGGCAAGCGTCAAGGCGATACATGGCGCTGCACGTGTAATCACTTGGCATGCAGTTGGCGCTGCCTGTTCTGCAGATGTATTACAAGTTTCAACTATTTACTTGAAGTATCCATTGAGATATGATGGATGCCACGCGTGAAGGGGTTCTAAAGGCAATTTTCACCGAGAGCTGAAGTCAAAACGGGGGCAAAATGTGAAATCGAAACCCTACAAGACCGCTGTTTGGCTAAAATGTCGGCTAAAAACAAAAAAAAACTATACAGTATAGTTCTTTGTATTATTTTTAACTGCTATTGCTCGTTACCATCACAGCAAGCGCCGTCATCTCCGGATTCAGGCGCGGTGCATGACCCACCGCTGACCTACCCAGCCCTCGCTTCCAGCGGCGGGATGTAGCACCCCCGGGAACTTGCAGTGATGTGTGGTACCACCCAAATGGGCGAGTGGAATGCTGCCCGACCAGACAGCATCCGCATAGAGTAATGTAATGTAATAAATCCATGTCTTCCCATAACCAGTGTTGTACCTATAGAGTTTCGTTCTGTTCGCCGCATGCAGGTCTTGTTAGTGAACAAGATCTTCGAGTTTATGGTAACTAGTGACACCGAGTGCATATTAAGGCTGGGATCGATGCCGTATAATCGCCGAAGGGCGCATTATTCCTCATGGCAGAAATGCG